ATCATCCGAACGTACCTGCGATTTTTCCGATTCTTGTGAATGGCACGGGGCTAAGCCCAGAACCTCCTCACATGATTCCTAAGTAGCCGCAGACTTGCACGCTACGACGTCATCTTGTCGGTTCGTCGTTCGTCTTCTTCTTCCTTTTGGGCCCTACTTCCTCTTGAAGGCCTCCAGGATCCAGTGATTCGTACATGTACCCTTCAGACTTGGAACCCTAGGCCGGCGTGTGGCACCGCTTTCAGTTCCGTATGCATATCCATAAGTGTGTGTGTGTGTGTGTGCGTGCGTGCGTTACACCCTCCGTTTCCAGGAGTTTGTTCCTTACTCAGTTTGCGGGGGGGCAAGGCCTCCAGCGATGGAGACGTCCATTCGTGCACCTGCAGCCGGAACGTTTGACCACGCTGTGACTCCACTTTCCCTTTTTTGCTTCCATGGTGGTTCTCACGGCACTTCCCATCAAACCCAATTTCCCTCCGCATTGCAGCTGCTGATCGCCGCCTTCATTGAGCGCTGCTGCAACATTTTTAAACATTCTGCTGATCGCGGACTCTGCCACCATTCCGTTCCATCATTCCTTTCCCATGGAACAGAGTTAATGGATAACCCTGTGACTAAGTGTGTCTCGCTGCGTCGTCCCACTCGGGTGCAAAGTGTGATCCCCCGCAAGGGGGCGCTGAAACCACCGTGGGTCACTTTTGGGCTCAACTTTCTTCACTCGTGGATCAGGTTACTGAATTGAGGTCTCACCCATGAATCTTCCGACCGCAAAGCTGCGGAGCTTACGCAGGCTTTCACTGACCCGCAGAAACTCAGTTTCAAAATTCGCACATGTTTCACGTTCTTTTCAGGCAAGTGATCACCCTCCATTTTCCATGAACCATGTCGTAGTTTGTCCCGCTTTGCCACTAGCGATGTAACATGCATTTTCCGAATTTTTAACTTGTGATCTTATTAGATACATTGGACTACCTGCTCACTTTTTTTGCCAAGAGCTGCCTCACAGTTCTGAAAAATCCGAGACCCCACATCAGCCGGCAGCAAACGATTGACACGCCAGTCCCGCCTTCACACCATCTACAACTATACCTTTCCACCGGCGGCTGCGGATGCTGCGGCAAACCACCTTGCCAACTTGTACACTCACAAATGATATACAGCAATTGACTGCCAACGGCTTTTGAAGAGCGGAAAAAAGCAATACCCTGCCACAAACGAGCGCCGATAATCGGCGTATTGTGTGTGTGTGTGTGTGCCACCCTCCGTTTCCAGGAGTTTGTTTCTTACTCAGTTTGCAGGGGGCAAAGCCTCCAGCGAAGAACCTTGTCCAACGAAGCTAAGTCGCTGGAGGGGAAGCGAATGGAGACGTCCATTCGTGTACCTGCAACCGGAACGTTTGACCACGCTGTGACTCCACTTTCCCCTTTTTTGCTTCCATGGTGGTTCTCACGGTACTTCCCATCAAACCCAATTTCCCTCCGCATTGCAGCTGCTGATCGCTGCCTTCGTTGAGCGCTGTTGCAACATGTTTAAACATTCTGCTGATCGCGGACTCTGCCACCATTCCATTCCATCATTCCTTTCCCGTGGAACAGAGTTATATAACTGAAAACCCTGTGACTAAGTGTGTGTGTGTAATGCGTTATATATACACATATGTACACATATACATGTATGTGTATATATATATATATATGTGTGTGTGTAGATGCATATATGTGTATATATATACCAATTTGATCTTCCAGGGTGTTTGATCCTGGCCTGCCAATGTGATGAACTGATACACCTCGAAAAAGGCCCTGAAATCCACAGACGGAGCAGCTAATATTGTAAAAATGAATCCTGCAAATTGATATGCCCCACTCAGAATGGCCGCAACTGTGCAACTATTGTCAAACAACTGGCTGAACTGAACGGAGGCCAACATCAGCATATTGCCCCCAATGCCAACCATGCCATAGCCGAAGGGGACAAACTTTCTTCCTCTCTCCCGAGAATATGATGCAGTGCCGGCTAGAATGTGGTGGCCGAAGCACTCCACACAAAGCCCCAACGAAGCAAACCAACGTGGCCCCATGTAATCCAAAAATGGTGAAGAAATAGCTGTTCCCACCACAAACACTTGGAACCCTCGCCCCCAAACTGCCGTCGCATCTTCAATTCCATACCCACAATCCCGAAGTAGGGCTTCTTCAAAGGGGGAAGACCCAAAAATCAAGCCCCCACTCATAGAAGCCGAAAGAAGAAGCGCAACACCCAAGAATACAAAAGGATGCCAACCGCCGCGGTCAACAGGGGGGCCACTTTGAAATGTTGCGAATCTCTCAGCTGAAAAGCTTCTGCCTCGCAATGCCACTGCTGAAGACAAGCTGCTGCTTGAATTGACGCAATCTATGCTTCTAGGTGGAGATTCGACACGAAAAGCGTACGGAGTTTGACTGTTGGCCATGGCGTCGTGCGCAACTTCGAGAAGCCAGGAAGTTTGAGCAAACTTCTTGCGGGCTGCCCACTAGCAATTGTCTTGAATGCTGGCCCTAACAACTCTGCAAACCGCATGGTCCAAATTCGCGCCTGCCCATAGCACCGCCGGGCTACGTCCTCCGTACCATGTTCTGGCTGCGGTGCCCCCACGGCAAACACATATCTAACTATTCGGGCCAGCTGATTCCTGTGGTTTAGTAAAGGGGTGTGTGTGTGTGTGCATGTGCATCTTTTCTGCAGGTGTGTGTGTGTGTGTGGGTGTGTGTGTGTGTGTTTGTGTGTGTATGTGTATGTGTATGTTTATGTGTAAAACAGTATATATTTTTTAATATGTGTATATATTGTGATATAAATATAAATATATATATATACACATCCGTATTTTTGTGTGTTAGTGTGTGTGTGTGTGCTGTGCATGCAAGTAACTCTATCTGGGGTACAGTGCTTGCAAACTGTGCCAGTAAATGTGTGCTCACTCTCTCTCAATATATATATATATGTGTGTGTGTAAGAAAGAATACATACATAGATACATAGATATATATATATATGTTAGGGGGTTGCGGGCTTTGTTTTGCATGTCTGATCTGTGAGCCTTGCTTCCACATACAGTACCTATTGAGAGTGTGCCTACCACAGCAAAAGGATCCCGCGGCAAAACTATCCCGTTTAACTTCAGAACAAATGTCTTGCTTGACACACTGCCTCTGCCACAAAAGTCACTTGCAACGGCATCGTCACAACAGCAACCTGCTTCACCCTTGGCCCTTGGCAAAGGTTGGGCAGGAATTTCACCGGCCTTTTGAACAAAAGAATCTGACTGTTGCCCATCTATTGAAGAGCTGCAGGGCCCGTCGTAAATCGGCTCTTTTTTTAATAACCTGACCTCGGCAAACGCTGGACATCTGCCCAAGAAAAGACGTTTCAAGGCCCAACTTGAACAGCATGACACACTGGTGGCAACTTGCATGAGCGGTGTCAACAATGGTTGCACAAAACGTGCGACTTTTTGGAAGAACCTCTCAATGTGAATCTTGCTATAGCCTTCCTCAGCTTATGCATCTCTGGCCACCGCAAAGCTCACGAACACCATTGGTAGGCCAAAAAAATAAATACTGCAGTATGGACCAGTATGGATGTCCGGTGTTTGAACCGCCCTCCCCAAACTTGCCTGGTCTGGTCTGGGCTTCGCATCTTGGTTCGGGCATGTGGGTACGACCCAGGCATGTAAAAAGGCGTCCGAGAGAATCCGGGGCCACAACTGGAAATTAGCCCAGCTGGAGACCCCAATAGCAAGATACAAACCGGGACAAAAAGAAAAATCTGCAAACAGCTGCTGTTTTCAACACATCGACCATCTCTTCCTTGGACACCATCATCACATAACCGGGACACCATCACAAAATGACCAGGGCACCATCAAAACATGACCGAGACACCGTCACAACATGACTGGGACACAATCAAAACATGATCGGGACACCATCACAACATGACCGCGCCACCATCACATGATCGGGACACCATCAAAACATGACCGGGACACCGTCACAACACGACCGGGAC